TGGGGACTCCTTGGTCTGGGAGTAAGTGCTGTGAACATTTAGGAATATATTCCCCAATAATAAAACTCATTTATTCAATTATTCATATTTTCACAAAATGCTTTTTTATCTTCTATGATATGCCAGATGTGTGTTAGTTAGTCAGGAAATGAGGGAGAATAATTCTGATCATCATCTAGAATATAATGTAGTTCACGGTTTTAAAAATGTGCTCTTTATCTCCAGGTGTGGCGCCTGTAGTCCTGGCTCTTGGGAGGCTGAGAATCACTTGAATCCATGAGTTGGAGCATCTTGTGTAACAGTGAGATCTTGCCTAATTCAAAATAAATAAGTAAGTAAATAAATGATGTTTAGAAATTATAACATTCTGAGCATTAACAGGAAAACCTGCCCAATTACAAGAAATTGAAGAATGTTTCTATCATGACTACAATTTTAAGTTATCATAACTGATTTGATAGTTCCATTTATTTTATTTTATTTTATTTCTGAAGAATTAAAATGTCTAAACATCATCCTCAAAGATGCTGATTTACTACATCTAGTATAAGTAGAGCAAGGTATAAGGATTCAAGGAGTAAAACATCCAGAACCTCTCTGTGTTAAGAAAATTTTGAAAGTTGACAAATAGAGTTTTGAGAATATTTTTTAAAGTTCCAGAAGCTATTAAGGACACATTCAGAATAGAATTTGAATGTCAATTATTAGAATGAGAAAGGAAGGGGTGGTACCAGTTTAATTCAGGTACCTTCACATGTGATGTGGAATGTTGATATGATATTCAAAGTTCTTAGTTCTAGAGACACCAATATGAGCAAATTTTTAGAGCTACAGACATAATCTTCAGGAGAACTGGAAAAAAAATTGTTTACTTAAGCCTTTTTACAGAGAATAAGTTGTCTCTGGAGAACAGGGCTAAGAACACAGGGAAGTGATTCAGGAACTTCTATTTTTATTTGTCCACACATTTACATATTTTTTAAAAATTTTTGTAATTGTAGATGGACAGCATGCCTTTATTTTATTTGTTTCATTTTTATGTGGTGCTAAGGATTGAACCCAGTGCCTCACACATGCTAGGCAAGTGCTCTGCCACTTAGCTATAGCCCCAGCTGTATATTTTTATATTCATAATTTTTAGTTAATACCACAATCTTCCAACAATCTCTGACTCTGAGGATGAATCATACTGAGAAGCTCCTCAATTAATAGTCTTTGTGCTCAAAGATGTTATATGTGTGTGTAAAGCAATCAGTCCTATAATCAAGCCTTATCCACGACCATATTATGAAACCCTGTGCCACCAGCCTTTATGGAATAAAGAACTCTGTTCATATCAAGTCAATACTGAGTAACTGTAATATTGGCTTTAACATAAGAGTCCCTGAAGCGAGACAAGTTGGATGCTACAAAGCTGGGTATTTACTGATCCTATATGTGGATGTTCCATGGGGACAGATTCAGGGAGAAAGGATATAAGGCATGAACCTGAAATACCACAACAACACAATTAGTGAATCAGAGTTAATTGAAACATGTATACTGGGAAATCTCATGACCAGACAACTGATTATTTTTAAATTCCATTGGAAATGTTACACAAACTGACCATATTCTGTATTATGAATAAAACCTCAGCAACTTACAATTACTTATATAATTCAGAGTATATTCTGTGACCAAAATAAAATCAAGAAAGACATTTTTAAAAGAAATAGAAAAAAAACCCTGTAAACATCTATAAAAATTTGTGTCTGTTCCATTTACATGAAAAAATGAAACAGAGCTTATAGAATATTTTAAACTGATAAGTCATAAGTTTGATGTGTTAAAATTTGTGAGATACTGCTAAAGTGAGGCTTTGAGGTAAACTCATAAGTAAAATATATAGAAAATACAATCATAAAGATTATTAATAAAAATAATCATAAATAATTTAGAAAATATAAATAATTTAAATAAAAATATAACTCATAAAATCAATATTGCAAAAGTTTATTTTAATTGAGTAGTAAGACTGATAAGCTTTGATCACGACAAAAATAGAAGAATCTTAACTTACTTGTTTCCAGAATGAAGAAATAGGAATCACTGTGTAGTCTACAAATTCTTTTTTCTTAATGTTAAAAAAATCATTATGAAAAACATAATGCAATGCATTGTATAATTTGTAAGGTTAATATTTTATATTTCAACTTAGAAAAGTTGAGAAGAAGGATAAAATCTGAAGAAATGATATTTATTAAATAAATTCAATCCTTTATTAAAAATTTGCACACAGAAAACCACAGGTCTAGACTGCTACACCAGTGAATATATCTATAAATTTGGTGTCTAGTTTTGAAATCCATTCCAAAAAGTGTTAATGCAGTTCATTTTATTTCCTATGTTTATGGTTTGCACCTTTTTAATGCTTGGTAGTAATGATTTTTAGTGACTAATAGTATTCCATTCTATCCATATACCACAATTCATCCATCAATACATCCTGAATTAACATTTAGGTCATTGCTAATTTTTGATTGGTATGAATTAAATTGCCAAGAACTCTTTGTTCAAGAGTTTGCATAGACAATTGTTTTATATATTTCTTAAGTAAACATTGAGAAGCAGAGTTGATAGGTTATATAATTATTTTCTTTTTAAATTTACAAGAACATGCCAAGCTGTTTTCCAAAACTGACTTTGTATGAAAAGCACAGTTCTTCCTCAGAAAAACTTGGTATCTCCCGCTGATTTCATTTTGTTTTGTTTTTATGTTTTCCATTTACCTGGATTTGTAGTGTTTCTTTATTATGGTGTGGATTTATTCCATTTATGATAAAGTACAATGGATATATTTCATACTCTCTTTATCTAGTTATGTATATTTTCCTATATCTGTTCATATTTCACTTTTTTTTACATTTGGTTATCTTTTGTTATGGTTTAGATGTGAGATGTCCCCCAAAAGCTCATGTGTGAGACCATGCAAAAAAAAAAAAAAAAGGGTTTAGAGGTTTATATAAGAGCCTGAACCTAATCAGTGCATTAATCCCCAGATAGGGATTAACTAGGTGTTGACTGTAGGCAGATAGGGTGTCACAGGAGGAGGTGGTCCCTGGGGGTTGCTTTTAGCGTATGGATTTTATTCTCACTGAGCAGAGATCTCTCTGCTTATGTTGTCCTGAGCTGCTTTCCTCTTCTGCACCCTTTCACCTTGATGTTCTGCCTCACCTCTGGCACAGAGCAATGGAGTTGGCTGTCTTTGGGTAGAGACCTGTGAAACTGTGAGCCCCCAGATAAACTTTTTCTCCTCTAATTGTTTTAGTTAGTTTTTTATTGCAGCAATACAAAAGCTGACTAAAACATTTTTATAATAAAAATTATATATTATTTACATAGTTTAGGAAAGATTCTTTTTCCAGACATATGTATTACCTTGAGCTTGCCTTTTCATTTTCTTGACAGTATCTTTAATTTTGTTTTAAATGTTGATGAAATACAATTGAACTATTCTTATGAGGTTTTGTGGGGTTTTTTGTTTGTTTGTTTCTGTAATTTATGTGCATATATATTCTTTCTAAGAAATTGTGAGCTGTTTTAAGATCTCCAGGATTTTCTTCTGTGTGTGTGTGTGTTTTTTTAACTGGATGCTTTATAGTTCAGCTTTTATCTTCAATCTGGTTCATTTCAGATTGATTTTGCTGTGAAACATGTTGAGATGTTTAGATTTTCCATATTTCTCATTTTTTTTGTAATTCAATTCCAATCCATTTGGAATTTTATTTTTGGTGTATGTAAAATAGTAAATGTGAGACATAGAAAGTCTATTGATTCATTTTCAGAATATAATCTTAATTGGATCTAATTGTAGCCATTTTAATTCTAGCTCTTCTTTTTGATCACCTCAATTTTAAAATTAGCCAATTGCATAGATCATAACCCTGAGCTACAATGAAGGGCAGCACTAAGTTAAGGATGTAAACAGACTGCCCCCCACACACACCCGAGGCAGCTTGTTTGCTAGGTTCTGGTAGCACACCCTTCTGGCGGGGGTAAATGTCTTCCTTGCCCACCCACTTTCCTGCACACGTTTCATTTCTTGTGGCACCTCAGTATTTCTAACAGTTTAAGTCACCTATTTATTATTCAAGAAGAAAAGGGATAAATTTTTAAATTCTATAATTCTGAATTTTGTGCACCTGCTTTGTACTTGCTTCTAATTCACAGAAGTTGAAGGATTAGAAAGGAAAAAATGAGATTCTGAGGTAGCTGATTCTACAATTTGAAATCAGCAATTATCACTTATTTTCCAATTGGTAGACTTAAAAGTCTCCACCAGTTTTATTACAAGGTAGGTAATATTGTTCTCTCTTACGGATTTGAAATCCACAGCATGAAGACATCATCTTACTTGCTCAAAGGATGTCAGGTGGTAAGTGTGTGAACACAGGACTTTGACCCTAAGGCCTGGCCATTTAACCTCTAGTCATCTGCTTCCCTCAAAGGAAAGCAAAGGTATTTGGTCCCTGAATCATTAAATAACTAACTGTGAGACACTCCATTTGGTGATACACATGGTAGACTTTATAGATCATGCTTCATCTTAATATATTTGAAAACCTCAATATTTTGTGTAGAAACCTTATTTGTTGATACTATGTTAAAAATAATTGAAAACTCTGATGTATGTTCACCCCTACCTGAATATAGTTTTAGGTTATTAAACGCCATAGCAGTCAAGCAGGGCTTATTCTTTTCAAATTGTTACTTTCCCGGCTTCACTTATTCACAGTTGCTTCTCTAAATACATTTCCAGGTCTTAACCTAGAAATATTAGCTTGAGAACATTGAAATTATACACTTGGAAGGTTTTCAATTATTATGAACATAAGTTAAATGTTTTATATAAAATAATTATTGTGTTTGAAAGAAAATTTAAAATATTGAATTGTAACAAATTTTATTTAAACAAATTCATCCAGAGTGAAATAATCACATAAAAATCAAGGATCACCCTCCTGCACAAAGAGAATAGCAATCAAGTACATCCATCAACCATGTTTTTCTGTCTCCTTCAGAAATTAAACAGAGGACATGGCAACAGGAAATCACTCCACAGTAGCTGAGTTTCTCCTCGCTGGGTTAACTGACAAACCAGAGCTCCAGCTGCCCCTCTTCCTTCTCTTCCTAGGAGTCTATGTGCTCACAGTGGTGGGGAACCTGGGCATGATCACACTAATTGGGCTCAGTTCTCACCTGCACATCCCCATGTACTATTTTGTCAGCAGTCTGTCCTTGATTGATTTGTGCCATTCTACTGTGATCATCCCCAAAATGCTGGTGAATTTTGTGACAGAGAAGAACATCATCTCCTACCCTGAATGCATGACTCAGCTCTATTTCTTTCTCATTTTTGCCATCTCAGAGTGTTACATGTTGGCTGTAATGGCCTATGACCGCTATGTGGCCATCTGTAGCCCACTGCTTTACCATGTCATCATGTCCTCCCAGACCTGCCTTTCCTTGATTTTAGGGGTGTATATTATAGGTGCAGTTTGTGCATCAGCTCATACAGGTTGCATGATTAGGATTCGTTTCTGCAAAATGGATGTGATCAACCATTATTTCTGTGATCTTATATCTATTCTAAAACTCTCCTGTTCTAGCACTTACATCAATGAATTACTGATTCTAGTCTTTAGTGGGATTAATATCCTTGCCCCCAGTATGACCATACTTAGTTCCTACATCTTCATCATAGCCAGCATCCTGCGCATTCGCTCCACTGAGGGCAGGGCCAAAGCCTTCAGCACATGCAGCTCCCACATCTCAGCTGTTGCTCTCTTCTTTGGATCTGCTGCATTCATGTACCTGCAGCCATCAGCAGTCAGCTCCATGGACCAAGGAAAAGTGTCCTCTGTGTTTTACACCATTATTGTGCCCATGCTGAACCCTCTGATCTATAGCCTGAGGAACAAAGATGTCAATGTTGCCCTGAAGAAAATGCTGGAGAAAAGAAAATTTCTGTGAGGAGAAATAACATAAAGAATATTTATTATATCTAAATCTTTGGCTATTACATTATACAAATTGATATATTTCATCTTAGTCTATCTATCACTATTCTCCTTCTATGAGCTTAATTTATTTTTTCTGTGACCTTATTAATGTCATTTATCTTTAGGTTTTTCTCTCATAAGTATCACTGAGACACAAAATTAGTAAAATACAATGCCATGTATACATGAAACCACCCATCCATCTCCATTACCTTCTCCATTTTTCCCATTTGTTTGATGAAAAACATAATCCTCAGCATAATTAAAACACCATCTTCCAGATGTGATTACCAATCTATTTTCCTCTAGGCACTCAAAAAATCACACAAATCATATCAATAGTATGTCTGTTATCTTTAGCATTTGCATATATTCCACCTAAAAAAGTTTTTTTCTACCATATTCGATTCATGCATTTTCTTTGAGAATTTTTCTTCTACTATTTTCCTTAAAAAAATAAAACCTAATCAAAAATCAAAATATGAATTATAGATCCATGTCCATATTGTGATTATGCCCAATCCAATATACCTTGCTTTATTGTTTATTATTCTAGTTTTAGAATAACTGCCTGCTATTGTCCAGTTCTTCACTGGACTATAACCTCCAAGAAGGTAGTGCTCTGCATATATTACTCAGGCTTCAGCTTCAGTAGCTAGATCCCTAGTAACCCTTTGATAATCTTCTCCTATAAAATATTTATATGAAAGTCAATATATATCCTGTATAGTTGTTACTCATGAACCCATTCAAGTGTACTCTACCCCACTTTTTGTTGTTAAGTCAAATATATTATGCCTAAGTTTTCAAGAATATTCAAGATATTTGGTATCATCCTTAGTTATTTCTAAACACCAATTTAGAAATATTCGTCTTGAGTTACTTATGCAATAAATCTTAGCACCATTGTGAATTCTAGATTACTAAGTCCTTAGATCCAATTGATAACCAAGAATTCTCTCAAGCAAGTCTAATTTATTCTTGAATTCAGACATGCACATGAGACACAACATTTTCAATAGACTTGAAATCCAATAAGCCAACATGATAAATCATGTGTCAGAGTGATGTCTGAGACCCAAACAACACAATGTATACTACTATACCCACTGCAGGAAACAAAACCACCCACACAGGCAAGAAGAAATTCCTGTTCTCTTTAGACTTAACAGGGAGGGTACTAACTAAGTAAAAATCAAACCTTTGTTTGCTGTATCCAAGGATTATTATATTTATCTTCTTTCCCATTTTCTTTTTGTCTTTTGAGGGGTGATAGAAGTGATTCAGTTTCTCTGCTTGTCTTCCAGCTTACCTAAAATGCAGCCTGTTTTTATCTATATCTTTGTTCACAGACCTTTATGTATTCAATTTGTATTATGTTGAAACCTTCAGCTGGAGGGAAGATAGGAGAATAAGTCTGACATATAAAAGGCAGTTTCCTGGCCATTCTAAAACTAACACAGTGCACTAATAATGTAAACTATATCAGGAGCTTCATTATCCATGGACTTTATCTCTGAGTCATCAAAACTCCTGGTGTGAATACCTTAATCCTATTTAAGATTGAGTTAAATGATTTCTCTAAACAAAACCAAACTATTGGTTTACTTGTTATTACAAATGTATGTCCAGATAACTAATGCAAAATGTGTCAAAATAACAGAGAAAAGTAGACTTTAAAGGCTAAAAGAACTTAAACATCATTTCTTAAGAGAATACATTTTTGATACTTGAACTAAATTACTTTATACACTGTCCCTCTCTTCTTGCTTCTAGATTACTGCCGCCTTTTCTTTTAATTAGTTATACATGACAGTAGAATACAGTTTGATACATCATATATAATTTTATATAATTTATTGTTCTGGTTATACATGATGTAGAATCACACAAGTTGTATAGTTATATATGTACATAGGGTAATAATGTCTGATTCATTCTACTATCTTTCCTGCACGCATACTTCCTCTCCTCCCTGCATTCTCTTCCACCTAAAGTAACTCTCTTTTTCCCTAGCCTCCATAGTGAGTTAGCAAAATGTTTTCTCTGATATGCATTATGTTTTTGTCATATTGTTAAATTAACTGTATTTTAGAACAATTTTAAATTTATTGAAGCATTTTGTTGATTTTTACAGAGCTCCCATTTACTGGTATACCCTTTCCCCTATTACTTACATCTTACATTATTATGCTACCTAATGGTTCATTAGTTGTTACCTTAGTAACAACTAATGAACCATTATTGATGTAGTATTATTAATGAGGGTCTATCTTTATCCCTTAGTTTTTATTATTTATTTCAATTGACAAAAAAGTATGTATTTACTGTATATAACTTGATGCTTTGATATGTATGCACATTACAGAATGGCTAAAGGAAGCTAATAAACATAGTCACTGTCTCACATGCTTATAATTTTCGTGATGAGAACATCTAAAAATCTACTTTCTATTTTTATTGGTTCTTTTTAGTTATACATAACAATACAATGCATTTTGATATAATTATACAAACATGGAATATATTTTATGATAATTAGGACCCAATTCTTATAGATGTCCACAATGGTGGGATTCATTGGGTTATTTTCATATGTATACACAGGAAAATTATGTCAAATTCATTCCACACCACTGTCTTTCCTTTCCTATGCCTGCTCCGTGTATACAACATTTTGGTATTAACTGTAGTCATTTTGCTGCAAAACAGGTCTCCCAACTCAGGATATGGTTGTGTAACAACTGCTCAGACTCAAGACGCAGTTAACTGAGGTGCAAGCTGATTGGTTTTTTTTTTTTATTTTTTTCTTCTGTAAATTGCTTGCTTGCTAACTGGAAAATTCCAGCCCTGCGTAGGTCCCACTAATATTGTTTTAACTTCTGTGATTGACTTACTTGCAAGAGTTTCTCGCTTCTTAAAAAGATCCCCATAATTCCATACCTATATATTTACCTATGGGAAATGAAAGCATATGTTTATAAAAATACTTGTATAAGAATATTCACAGTTCATTTGTAGTAGTGTAATACATATGTTCCCTGATGTGTTATATTTATACTTATTTTTTTTGATGTTGTGATGGTGTGAAAGAAATTTGCATTCAGTAGAAACCATGCTTTGAATTTTGGATTATCATCTTTTCCAGACCCGCTGACATGTAGTATGATATTCATGATGCTAGGCAATATCAGGAAACTGCAGCTCCCAGTTAGCTATATATTCATAAAGGGATACAAGCAATACTTTTTGGTGTGCTGTGCTGCTAAGCTAAGATGGTCAGTAGCTTAGGTGTACCAAATACTGTGTTTTTTTACAATATTGTCAATTTATTATGAGTATACAAGATGTAACCCCATGGTAAGCCAAAGAATATCTCTCATTGGAAATGACACAAATGTCTATCACTATAAAACACTTGTAGCCACAAGTGCCCATTGCATTGCCCATCCAATGTAATGCTACTCATTAATCAAAGCAATTAACAACTGATACATGTGCAGCAACACAAGGGAATTTCAAAAAAGTACCTCTATACAATCTGTTAATATAAAACCATAGAAAATGCAAACAAGTCACCAGGCTCGGTGGCACATGCCTTGTAATCCCAGCAGCTCAGGAGGCTGAGGCAGGAGGATGGCGCGTTTAAAGCCAGCCTCAGCAAAAACAAGGCACTAAGCAACTCAGTGAGACCCTGTCTAAATAAAATACACAAAATAAGGCTGGGGATGTGGCTCAGTGTTTGAGTGCCTCTGAGTTCAATCCCCAGCACCACCCAAAAATAGAAAATACAAACAAATCTATATTGACAGAAAGCAGATAATTGTGTACCTTTGAACAGAAATGGTAGATTGTCAAGTGGCAGATTACCATCTATAAATGGTGATTATGTTCATTAGTTTTATTGTACTGATGATTTCATGTTATATGTGCTTATGGATACACACTTACACAAGTGATGATGGTTTTTGGTATGTGTAATAATACACACCACATATATACATATATATAAATTTATGTTTACGCAAATACACAACTTACCAAGACACCAATAGGTCTCCTACACACTATTCTATACATGCCAGAGACAATAGTATCTCTGACTTACCAATCTTTTATTTGTACTCTAAAAATTCTCAAAAAGAATTTTAAAATTTTATAATTTATAATTTTAAGATTTTCTTCAAAAACAATAATAAAGGCCTTATCTGCGGATATAGATCATTGGTAAAGGGTTTGTGTGAGGTGGTAAAAGTGATATCCAACACAAGATAAAACTAATAGTGATGATAACAATAATAATAATACAATGTAAAATATGGACAATAATTGTATGCTAACTACATAATTGCACATAATTATGTCAATATCCCGATAAAACTCATTAATCTCAAATAAAAAATTGATAACCATTTTAAAGAAAATAAACAGATTAAAAGCTATTGATTAATTACTTTTTCTCATAATATGTTATCTATACTTTATTATTTAAATATCTTTTTAATGTACATTCCCATGTAGTACTTAAATTACTGGGTATAGAAGGCTTTTCAATATTAATTACATTAAATGTCTCTTGTCAAGAATAATTTAGTACTTTATTTTGTATCCATATCAATTGATGCTTGCTGAGAGGAACAAAAGATTAAATTCTGAGAGCAGGAATGCAAAACATGAAGTATGGCCTAAAAATTTTAGTAATTTACATTTATGGTGATTCCATCATTGATGCTCAACTTTGTCCTCAATAAACCATGGGGGAGAGAGAAATGAATAGATCAGAACCTTCTTCATAAATACAGATCTGAAATCTGTCTCGAAATTGATGTGTTTACAGCTTCTAAGTTTTTATTTTATATGTAATTATCTTAGAAATGAAGGAAAGGAGAAGACTACCTACGAAAAATAGGTTTCTGCTCATATTGTAGGAAAAAGAGTTATCCAGAAAGGCAGAGGAAAAGACTGAAGACA